GGACTCGCCCCGCCGCTGCCTAAGGAGGGGGCGGAGTCCCCGGCCGCCCAGGCCTCTCCTCTGACCCAGCGAGGGCAGTTCGGTGCCTGAAGTCACTGAGCTCCTCAAATCCCTCTTCTGCCCCCCACGCCAAAGCATCTTAACAATGTATTTTTATCCTTTTGTGAGGAAATGCACACGAGAAGATAGAATAACTGCAGGCCCTTGCGCAGAGCTGTAATTTAAAACTGTCAACAAACTAATCTGCAGTAATTGCCTTTTAAAGGGAGCCTGCCTCTTTAAACCATGCCTTCTGAGGGTCTCGGTGAGAATCTCCTCTCGGGGCCGGTGGCTGTAACACCGAATTGACCCCGTAGGTGTTGACCTGACCCCTCGGGGGTCCTGGGAGGTGTGGGATTTGTACCCTGCAGGTCCGGGAGCCTTTTCCCAGGAAGGGGCGTAGAAACAGCTGGGTCGCCTGGCCAGGAGCGGGTGGAGGAGGGGCGGGGGGAGGTGTTCAAAGGCAGACACTGTTTCCAAGCCTGCCTTCCGGTCATGAACAGATCTGCCCGGTGCATTTTTAAAGTATCGATTCCCTCTAAACCTGGCGGAGAGAGCTGCAGCTCACCCCTCTGCTGGCTGGCAGCCGGAGAGGTCTGCAGGGGATGTGCGACGTGCTGGGCCCGGGACAGAGCCAGAGGGTGGCAGCTCCTGCTCAGGGCTACCTGTGCTCTGCTGGTGGGGGGGCAGCCAGGGGGCCAGGGTGCTGGGGCAGAGTCAGGAGCCCGCACTTCCCAGCTGCCCCTCCTTATCTGGAGCCCAGGCCTCAGCCCAGTTTCAGTTTTCCTTCGCCTGGGCTCAGCCACGTCCCAAACACCCAGGTAGATGAGGACTAAGGAAGACCAAGGACTGGAGAGCCGGCCCAAATGCCCAGTTTCTTTAGCCCCTGGACACGAGTGGCCCCTCCGCACTGAGCCCACGGCTCTCCGGCAGGACTGTCCTGTGTTGCAGACACTCTGGCTGGCAGGGCCTCTGGCTGCCCTGGCGTGTGCTGCGTCCCCTTCCCCGGAGCCCTCCGTGCCCTTGGCCCAAACGTCCGGAGGTGGGGGTGCTTGGTGTCACCTGCGCCCGCCCTGGGTGCTGGGGAAGGCCTGAGGGAGG